CTCTGAAAACTAATCACATGACTGATTTTCTAGACTTTTCCCGCGCTCCAGGCAGTTTGCGTGTTCTTGCGTCGAGTTCATTTGATATTTTCCTATAACCTGATTGGTCGTTGTGATTACTTTGGCTGTGGTTTCGCGACACTTAATCGAAATGCACTCCAACCACTGCAATCTGAGCGATATTATCGAATAATGCCACTATTGCGAGTTCACGCCAAAGCTTTGACGCAAATATGTTGCATACGTTATGCACTCGAACGATGTATGGGCCTAGATAAGGGAGAGGGTGGTCACCTTTTTATCGAAAAAGTGATCATTCTTGAATTTAAGAAAACTTGGCGTCCCCCCCCCTCCAACACCAGGATGATGCTGGTGTAGGACCCTTCCCCCCCTAATAGGGGAATGTTGATTACGCCCCCTCTTGCGATTGGTGAAATGGGTTGGGTGTCACAATCCACATATTACAACATGATAAATACCATAAACATAGAAAAAGATAAAAATTTACAATGAGTGTCAAATTTTTTAATATTGTAGGAATGGTGTTATGGTCAACGTATCATTCCCACATTCCACAAGTTCAGGTTAGTCTTTCAGCAGAGCTTGGTTTTTAGAAAAATTTAAACACATCAACTTTCCAAAAGACCAAAACATTAGTGTGTGCGACAATGTTTTTTACGATCACAAACCAAATCAAACCCTAAGACGCGCGCGCCAGGATAGTAGTGTTCTTCTTCACAGAAAGTTGTTGGGTTCAGGCCACATTCTTGGTGACCTTCGAGTGTTATTTGGCAGTCTATTAATCAGTTTTACGGCTTATCTTGTGGCTTGGAGTTGCAATTTCCTGCCCGCTTCGTTTAACAAACACGCCGTCGAATATATCTTTTTAAATCAGACGGGAAGTTGTTTTTGAAGGGCGACAGAGCAGCTTGAACCGTCGCCAAAATAAATCAAATGTTGTTACGAAAAAAAAAAAGAGGGCGTAAGAGGGTACACCATCTTTTACAATTTTCTCCAACTTAGCTTGAAATCTTCTAGCACTTCTATTGCGATTGTTTCGTTTGAAGAAGTTTCATATAAGTGTAGTTACTACGTTTTAAATTGCTGGGGGTTCTAAGTAAGTAAACAAACGTCGCGGTAGTCCATCAATGCAATGAATTGTTGAAGAATTCGTTAATAGGATTTATATATGATTACGTGATAATGGATCAACTTACTTTTTTAATTTACGGAGTGAGGACGAGCCGATAATTTGACAACGCGCTAATATGTCTCTTTCTGGGTAGGGGTTCACAAGAGTGCTTGCAGACCTGTCTGGATTTGTGTTATCACCTCACACTTCATCAGGTAAAAAAATATATCATCGGTGAATGAACTATTCCTGTTTTGTTAATAGCTTCCTTGTTGCGTTTAGACAGTGAGGGATCTTAGGCTTTCCCTCAGTTGTTAGATGCATTGTAGGATACACGCCCACACAAGATTCACTGTAAATTTAGGGAGGAGCAATTGGCATTCTGGTCTGTTCTGGGCATAGGTTATGCGTTCCGTGAGCTCTTTTTTTTTTTTGAACCTTTCATAACCGCAAAATAAATGGATTACTCTAGCTATAATTAAACCCGCGGATTTTTAAATGAAGTTATTATCTTTAGCGGAAACACAAGCTACCACTCGTAAATTGATTCTTGTATATAATCATCAGATCATCGTTTCTAAAGTCCTGTGTAAATAAACTCTCATTCAGGATAGACACACGCCACGTCCATAGCTCGCCAACAACGGAACATCTGTCAGATGAAAGACATCCTAAGAGCAGTTCAAGCTTGTAAATAAATGTCGTAAACTTACACCCTTCCGTCTAGTACACGTCCATCGTCGCACTAAAATGTCCATGTTGTTTGCTGTTGGGTGGGAAACGTCTGTAAAAATCCTTTCCCTCCCCTCCCCCTTCCTCTCAACCTTCCCGTGCTCACCCCCGTGCCCACCTTCTCCGTGTCCGCCCACTCGCACCCCCTCCACCCACTCACACACCCCCCCCTCCTCGTGATCACCCTTACTCTCTGCGTTGGGCTTGCTCAAGCTACAATCTTGTTGGCGATTTTCCTCTCTATAAAAACATGAGATGTTGTGATCAGTTTAGTTCCGTGCAGATTATGAAAAGAAAACAAAGATCACCGAATAATCAGGAAGATTTCCTGCACGCTGGAGAAGATGGTCGACGACTTTACGTCTTCAGCGTTAAAAGTGTTCCGTCTTGGCGAATAATTTCATCTCGAATATCAATTGAGATGGATTAATAAGCAAAATGAGTCTTTTTGTAGAGATAGCTCCACTGCTGAGCTTCAGAGATTGCCTGTTTTCATTCATGGCTTTCAACAGCTCCATGTGATACCTCCTTGGTTCTGATTAGCCCTAACTTCTTTGCTTTGGTTTTACGACGCTTAATCGAAATGTGTTATAATATATTGCAATATTCTGCAAAGCTAGAAACATATCAAGGAGCTTGAGGTATTGAACGTTAACTGAAATGAACAAAGGGGATAACTTTCTAAAGAAACTGTGGTGCTTCGTCGGTGGGGTATTATGAGATGATTTTGCTTTATCAACTGAGTCGAAAGAGACGGTTTCTTTGTTTGTTCCAGATTCTTCAGTTCACACAAATGCAGCAATACTGATTCAAATTGACGTCCGAGACTCGTTGCAGACGATGCTGGAAGGTAGCTACAAATCAGGTAAATACTGAAGATATCTCAATTCATGGACGCCACACCTCAGTTATGGTTTTGATTTATTGAACCAAAACTGTGCAACTCTCTTCTCCTTGGTTGAGACACCTTATTGATTGTACTTTTCGTATTTTTCTAGGTCTGTTGAAGGTTGGTTTAAGAACTGCTTTCGCTCACATCAGTAACCTGGTGGAACAATACTACAAATGCGTTCAAGGATAACTATGTGAAAGACGCCGAGTTCAAATTAAAATTAGGGGTTCTCAAGATATCGAAGTTTAACCCTTTAACTCCCATGAGTGACCAAGACAGAATTTCTCCTTACAATATCAATACAATATCGAGCAGACAAGTGATGAGAATAAAGAAAAATCTTAATTAGGGGATTATTAGTTGATCCAATACCAAATTCTCCAAACTAACATCAGAAGAACTGTACAGCAGACAGTAAGGAGAATTACAAATGACATATTGAGAGTTAAAGGGTTAAAGTATCCAAATAGAGTAAAGGGTCTGTATTACTTGTACAGATAATATAAACAAACAAGAAAGTGCATGTTATTTTATAAGTAATATATAAATAAATAAAGATGGAAATAGACTTGATTATAATGAGTTGTCTGAAAAGATATTTTGCATGTTTATTTTGCGACGTGTGAGAATACTTTTCAAGTGATTGAAAGGAGTGTAAACATTAGAGTACACGCGTGAGATTTGGCGATTCGGCCGTGATGACGAGATAGTGATATTGTCAATGGCACGTCTTCAAGCCCAGAAACAACTTCACGTAGTTGCCGTTGAAGCAGAGTTCCCCGTGCATGAGCTGGGTCGCAATGATGGGAAAACTAGCAGCAGACCGCAACAACCTTTACGAAAGGCACCAATAACTTGCGATCTGTCTTTTCCAGTCTTAATTCTCTCGTTTAACTCATATGAAATACTGCATAAATTAATTTAACTTCACACTGTGAAACTAAGGTCGTTTGAATCTAACTCTGATTCATCTCTCTTTGATTCTCACTGACTTCTAAGTTAACTCTAAAGTACATTAGTACTTATTTATTCGCTACCAATGCATAAGTGATCAAGCAGGCCGACCGACCTTGAAAGATAAAACATTTGTTTTCAGAATACTAACCTAAACACTTGTGCTAGAATCTCGCTAATAAAAAACAACACACTTAATGCTTCCAATCACCCGAATTAATCTTTGATATCATAAGCCAAAACAAGAACTTTCGCGAGGGTCCAAATCAAGGTCAGTAAACAAACTTAGCACGTTCCCGAATGGAAATTAGAGCCCCAGCGCTAGATAAATTAGTATTTATAAAACTTATCTTAAAGAAAATTATTGCTTTAGATTTTAGATCGGAAGGAACCCAAGTTTCATGGTAAACTTATGCGCGACGCCTTTTTTTATCAATCTAAAATGGGCACACTGGTTCTCTTTCAATGCGCACGTTTACACGTGAAGAAGGTTTACCCTCAGAGAGCTGTGCTTTTCTTTCAGGATGTTCCCTTTCTTTCTGATAAACTATTTGGGGCTAGATCCGATTGGTCAGATTAATTTGATTACATCACCGCGTATGAACATGTATTTTTACTCAAGCCGCTCCAAAACTGATAATGTTTTTTGCTAGTATCATTCACAAGTGAGTTTTTCTCTCTGATTCTTTTTACTGAATGATGTAAGACATCCTATTGATGTCCTTAGCTGTAGTGAATAAAGTGGCGGGAAAAATGTGCGCGTCTACCGCTCATTTTGCGCGGGAAGAAAAACCACGTTTCCGTTTCATTTCCTAAGCAGGTTCTGTTGGCCAAGAAACGTAAAAGTTTCACACTGTAAGGTGTTGCTTTTGTTTTAAAAGGTAACTCAAAGCGACAGAGTAGTTTTTGGTTGTACGATCTAAATTCTTTTCAGACAGCTTGTCGGTGAGAAGTAAAATTTCTCAATGAATTTAGAGCAAAAAAAAACCCGAACGGTTATTATTATTATTATTATTATTATAGAAAACCATTCACGTCCAAAAAAAATGAAGAGACATCTTATATTTACCACAGGTTTAAGAAGCTTAACAATATCAGAAAAAAAAACTTAAATATGATGGAAATTACCACTAGTCGCGATCAAGTGGTGGAAGAAGAATTAAGCGACCAGGAAGAGGTAAGAGAAAATGTTTTTTTCAAAGGCTGTTGAGTTTAATTTGAAAATTTAATTATCGTGTTTTTCTAAAATGTAGCATATATAAGTTATTAATGCAATGTAACTAATCAGCTGAATAAAAGGGAGTTTTTTTCCATAGATATAAAATTTGGAATATCAAATATATATATATATATGAGTATTTTCTACATGTTATTAAACTTTTTTCGCTTAACACTTTAGGATTCATTTTATCAAGACATTGACCTTCTACAGAACCATGGAATTGTGAGTATGCATGACAATAACGTGTAAAGTGACCTTTTTCGGTTCAAATACGCTCCTCTGTACAGTCTTTTAACTCAAAATTCTTGGTTCATTTGTTTTTCAGAATGTGGCTGATATAAAGAAGCTCAAATCAGCGGGAATATGCACCATAAAGGTATGTCTTTTAGTAAAGTGTTGAACTTAATACACTATCGCAGCTTAAAATTTGTGGGCCTTCTTAAAAAATGGGCTTTTATAAAGTACAAACATCGCTTGAAGAGCCATCAACACGTTACCTACTTAAGTCTAAAGTGCACTTTTGGTATAAGCTAAGACGACGGATTACAAACCCTTCATCGGGCCTATTAACAAAATTGATTGGGGTGTTTGATTAATTGATTGTATTTCCACAGGGTGTGCAGATGACTACAAGGCGAAAGATGTGTCAGATAAAAGGGATATCAGAGGCAAAAATGGAGAAAATTAAGGTGAAATCAATGTTTCGTGACATTGCCAAGACCGCCAAGATTTTTAATTCAAATTACCTTATTTTGATTGCTTCTTTATATGATTTTAAAACTAATAAAGAAAGACACTTCATAGATTTTCTCAAATGTTATCTTTCTTCAAATTTATCCATCCATTACAATTATAACTAGTTTTGCTCCGTTATATGAGAATATTTGACAGACTAATTACCTTTGATTTCTTTCAGGAAGCTTCCGCTAAGTTAGCTGTGAGTATTTCCGAAAAACTTGTTACCTGATCCTAAACAATAATTCATCTCTTTTGATCCTCTATTTGACAATTTCACTCTTTTTCTTATAGAATGCTGGATTCGTCACAGCTTTAGAATACAGTGATATGAGGAAGATGGTTTTCAGGATTTCTAGTGGAAGCACTGAGCTGGAGTATGTAAATTAAAAGTGAAACCTTTTACTTATCTCAGCAAGCACTAAAACATGTTTTTACAACATTCTGTTTTCCACAGCAAACTCCTTGGAGGTATGTGTTGATCAGTTTCAGATGTATTTTTAACATACTACTTTGACTTTGACTTATTAAGACACATTTTTGCTTGATTTTAAACATTTGAGTCTCACAATTTTAGGAGGAATAGAGAGCATGTCTATAACAGAGGTTTTTGGAGGTAAAGTAACCCACTGGTATTATTGTAGTAGTCTCTGACTTTTCAAAAGCTACGTATTTATTACATTACACATATCCAATCTTTTTTCAGAGATGATTTTGTAAGTAATCTTGTCACTATTATACCTTAAAAATCCTCTGTTGAATAAAAATGAGGACAACCCTTTTTTTATCAATCAGAGTTCAGGACCGGCAAAACTCAACTGTCACACACACTCTGTGGTGAGTTTTAAAAACATTCTCTGACTGAGTTGTTTTCTCTTTGGATTAAAATGAAGTTAATATTGTTAAATGTGATACCGTTAGTTTCAGCACAGCTGCCAGGTGCAAATGGGTACACCGGTGGAAAAGTGATTTTCATTGATACCGAGGTACTTTTAACTAAACAAACCCATTAATATGATTTATGTGTATGGTCAAGACTATCTGCAATTTCCCTTAGCTTATATTGGTAATGATGATGTTATCTGCAACATTTAGTAAGGCTTCCCTGTAACCTTACCATCCATAATCAGTTCTTAAATATGTATGGATGAATGATGTAAACATTATTTTATGGTGTTGTGTTGTGAAAAGTGACCATAGTATTGTTTTTAAAATGTTTCCATGAGAGTTCATGGGAGAGAATTTGTATAAGGCCTGAGTTGGAAGACTGGCACTCGAGGGAGTGTCTTTCAAAGGAAATTAATATGCTTGAATGTCTGAAAATGACCATACCCTCAAAAAGGCAGTCATTGGGCTACTTATTGTTAATCCATTGTGGAGACTCATAGACAAAATTATTAAATACAAACTTCACTAACTCATTTAATTTGTTCCTCTTTTAGAATACTTTGTATCCTTTTTTTTTCTTGAATTTCACACATGTAATCAACCACTCTAAACGTTAATTATTTTGCACTTTTAAGTCATTTCTGTATTTTTTTAAAAACAGTAAATCTGCAACTTTAGCTCCTTAATCAATAATAGCAGACCTGATCGCCTACGAGAGATTGCAGACAGGTTTAATCTTGACCAGAATGCAATGCTGGACAATGTTCTCTATTGCAGAGCATATACAAGTAGGTCACAATACTTATTTGAAACTATATGGATTTTACCATTAGCTGCCCAGCCCATCTTTTTGGTGATTTAATTAAAGTAGTAATGCTTAAAACAATTTTTTAAGTCACCATTGTATCAGTTGATTGTTATAATCACTTTTTTTTACAATTCCACAAGGCATAAGATAAATATCACCAATACATATTATTACTATTAAAATCTATAGGTGAACACCAGTATGAGTTGATGGATAGTGTGGCTGCAAAGTTTCATGAAGAACCAGGAGTATTCAAACTTATGGTATGCACAAATTGGAAAATTACAATTTATTGAAAATAGGTTATTATCCTCAAACTTTTAAAATCAAAGGACAAATTTTCTTTGGTAGTGTTCCAACAATGTTTTGTGTATCATCTCTTCCAGATAATCGACTCAATAATGGCATTATTTAGAGTTGATTTTTGTGGAAGAGGTGAATTGGCTGACAGGCAGCAAAAACTAGCACAGATGTTATCTCGACTGCAAAAACTGTCTGAGGGTAAGCAATAGATATCTGATAATCTTCCCATTATAAACAGAGAACAAGTAAGATGTTTGTGTCCATCTGCTGCTCAAGTTTTTACATACTCCTGAAACCATTTGGCCCCTCTAAGGGACATATTTTCATGGATGGTCAACAAACGAATTAACTTTATATCTCTATCAACAAAGTAGTGTTTATATCAACTCTTAATCCTCTTAACAGCAGTATTTTCTCTATTTCACAGAATTTAATGTTGCAGTCTTTATCACCAATCAGGTAGTGTGTATATACATACTGGGTAAATCAGCATTTAATTAATGTTGTCCTTTGATCAGTTACACTAGGTGCATCTTTCTAATTTTTGCTATATTTCAGCTGCAGTTTTAACCACAATTTCTATCTTATCATTGAGATAAATTTGGTAGAAGGGAGGTATAATGATATGTTGTTCTACTGTTTATTTGCAGATGACAGCAGATCCAGGAGGTGTGTATTTACAAAATAGGCAATTTACACTGAGTATCAATATTTCATTCCCTATCCTACTCACAGTACATACCTTTTTTTCTCCATTGCTGACTGGCTTGTTGGATAACAGCAACAATGAGGTAAACTGAACCTTTCATGAGAAGGAAACAATTAGCTATTCATTGTAAATTTCTATTATAAGCAAGAAATATACTCACCAAGATTTGATCATTTCTCAGCTTCCAAGCTGATCCCAAGAAGCCAATTGGTGGACACATTCTGGCACATGCCTCTACAACTCGCATTAGTTTGAGGAAAGGGAGGGGAGAAACAAGAATTGCAAAGATATATGACAGGTTAGAAACCTCCTTTAGTAGCCTCTATGACAATTCTTCAATAATTTGAGTCACAGCTTAAGATGATTTTTAAATACAAATAATTTTCATGTAATTATCTACAAGAATTGCATGTGCATGCAATAACTTATTTTCCTATTTCATCAGCAAATACTAAATAAATAAGGTCAGGGTAATATTTCACTACACTAGCCAGATCAGTGTATGATCTCACAAGAGGGACTCTGGTATTGATTCTCCCTAAGAAATATCCATTTTGTTCACAGCCCTGATCTTCCAGAGAATGAAGCCACATTTGCAGTTACATCAGGGGGCATTGCTGATGCCAAAGAGTAAACATGACACTAAAAAATCATTGCAATATACCAAAACCTTTATTTATTTTATTTAACACTACTAAATATAAACATTTCTTTTTCACCATAAATTTGTAAATAAGACATTTTTTCATTCTTTCATAACATTTGAGTGAAAATAAAACTAACCACAAACATATAGGATGTGCATTCCATTTGTACAATATATGTTACGGAGAGCCTGATTAAGTTTCCTATCAACAGTCTTAGAGTCTAATGTACAGTGTAGCCTGTCTATTGAACAAGACGCCCTCCATCAATAGGCAACATAGTTCCATTAACCATACCAGCTTTATCACTTAAGAGATAAAGAATGGCATGAACAACATCCTCTACTTCTGCAACAGAACATATTGTAAGATGTGATTAGTAATTTTGCAAACTGAGGAAGAATACATGTACTGGGTACCTACTTTTTTAATTTTTAAGAGATTGTTTCAGAAGCTGTAATACATATTAGAAAAATGTCATAATTTGGGGTTAAACACTGTAAATGTATCTTACCTGCAAACCTTCCAAGTGGTATTGTATCTAGCATTGGCTTTGCCTTTGCAGGATCAGACCAACCTATCCTTCCCATATCAGTCATCACAACAGTAGGGTTCACGGCATTTACTCTGATCTGGATTAAATAAGCAGTGTTTTCTTATCTGGCAGTGAAGTGTCTAAAACATGGTTCACTGTTAAGAAAATTAAACTAACTGTAGACAAAGGCTTGTTTCAGACCTAGTACTGGTAATTTCATGTCATGTGTTTTTTTTCTTAATCCCAACCATCCTTAACCATCACTCACCTTGTAAGGGCCCAGTTCTAATGCCATTGTTTTTGTAAACATATCCATAGCTGCCTTTGTAGAACCTACAACAAATGCAACACCAGTAAAGGTTTATATTAAAAATTGCGGAAGCAAAATGATGGTGTAGAGTGACAAGAGAATATTCTCCTCTGCTGTTGGCCGTCATGTCTTCCTAAATTTAAACTTACTCGTTATTGTATAATTCTGCAAATTGTATTTTTTAATGCAGTCATTTTACATCAGTGATTGGTGGTCAAACTTACAGTACAGAGTGTGATCTTTTAAAGCTATCATTGAAGCCTGACTGGAAACATTAACTATTGCTCCTCCGCTCCCTTTGGCAATCATCCTTTTTGAAACAGCCTAATAAATGAAATATAAACTGTTTCAAACCTTTAACAAAGTTTGATGAACACACATTTAGCAGCCTTAAAACTACAAAAATGGCTACTATACCTGTGCAATAAACAGAGGTGCCTTCACATTCACCGAAAATATCCTATAATAAAAAAAAGATTGCAAAATGAGAAAAACTCTCAAAAAGACTTATTTATTTCTTAGGAAGTATTGAATAACCTGTGTTTAACTTAACCAAGCTATGATATACAAGGTAATCACCATGGATAATGGTTATTTATAGTTACCATATACTGAAAATTGGGGAAAGAAGAAATCAATGCATAAAAAATTATTTTTTTTTCTCCAGTCAGCCAAAAAACATCAAAATTTTCATACAGATTTGAATAGCAATGCTCATTTGGCTCAAAACATTTGAACACATACTTGTCAAAATCTCCCATCTTGATTTCTTCAAAAGGATCCAATAATGCAATTCCTGCATTGTTTACTAAAAGATCTATATCACCAAGGCTATTTACTTTCTTCACTGCAGCCTCAATGTCTGACAAATCAATACAAACTGTCTGAATTGTTGGTGCCTAATCAAAGAGGAAAATTCAATATTAAAAGTTGTTGTATAATTTTAATTCATGTTTCAGTCAAAAGTAATCTGAGAAAACCTTCCCAACTGCATCTGGCAAGTTTGCAAGCAATTATTCCAAGAAATTAAAATTTTTAGTTGCCAACTCTTTCAGAGTAACTCCAACCTTTCTCAAGTAAGCAAAGATTGAATTACACCTTACTGGTAATGGGTAGGCATCATAGAGTGTTTCAAAATTTCCAAGAAGTTTCTTTCCAGTGACACAAGTGACCAGGAATGACCATGAGTGAGCATAAATAACCACTGAAACAATTCCATCAAAAGTTGTTACTGGTATTTTAAGACCTTACTACAACATATCTATATTCATTTCATCAAATAACTGACTGGCATAAAATTGATGTGGAAAGGACAGTTGGAAATTTTGTCAGAAAAACATGTCTGAAAATTACATGAGGAGTGTCCTCCTTTCCTCCCCTCCCCATTTTATTAATGATAGTGACAAAAATAATTGTGATAATAATAATAATAATAATAATAATAATAATAACAATAATGATAGTAATAATGATAATAATAATAATGATGATGATGATAATAGTAATAAAAACTATCAGTCAAGGAATTTAGCTCATTAAGACAGTTCTTGTAATGAAATCAGTGATGTGTTTGTAATGTAATCTCACTCGTAACTACTTTTGAACTCCCTTGTTATTACTTTACCTCTTCTTTTAGGCTGTGTAAGTCAGCTTGAGTTCGTGATAAAGCGATGACCTCAGCACCACATTCAACTAACATCTTAGCGGTACTGCGACCTATCCCTACCGATAAACAACCACGTTTTCGTCATATCGTTCCTGTATTTTACGGTCTAACTGATACCTTAAGAAGTACCGTGTTCCGATCTAACGCGACATTTTGCGCCGATTTGCGTGACGTTCGTAAAATCATAATAATGAACGCCAGTGTATTATATAGACGCGCGCCCCTTCATGCAAACCATGAAAATGCAATTTTTCGTTGTGATTGAAGAGGGAAGATTCTACCTTTTCCAGCACCAGTTACTAAAGCACGCTTTCCTTTAAAATTAATGTCCATGATGCCCGATTAAGCAACGACTTGCTCGCAAAATGTTTTGTTGTCACAGGGCCCACGTTGATGAAAGCTCAGTACCCACTTAGAAAAGGTACGAGAGAGGACTGGGAACAAATCAGAAAATCAAATATGGCGCAGGGTTAGTAGGCAATATATCAGGTGCAGCTAACTGACATTTCATTCACTCCTTTGTTAGATCCCGGGTACGTTACATCGACCATGATTCTCTTTTGAATAACTGGGAAAGGTAACGGACGGTCAGGTATTTCACTCAAATGACGAGAGATATATATCTTTTTAAATCGAATTTATTTACCTGTTAATTCTCGTGAAGTTTTTATCAAAGAGTCCTACACCTTATACAATTTCGCTAAAACGTAACAAAATTGTCTTGCTTTTTAAGGTTAATTATCTTAGAGAGTCGGGCAATTGCTATCTTTATAAAAGCATCAAAAGTATTTCTTTAGAAAATATTTACACATCATGCAATATACAATTGCGCCACAGAATCAATACAACTACATATTTTAACACTCTGCACTGCCTGTCACATCGTCGTCCAATACGTAAGTTATTCTTTTTTCAATAACTTTTTACACCCTAACTTCAGTATGCAAGTTCTCCATATTATTCTCTATACATTTTCTGGTGCTACTAACAAGGAGAATTTGTCTAACAATCAAGAGTTTCTTTAGTTGGTGATCATTTCCTTTTTGATCGTGCAGTATGATCTTCCGGGTGAGAATAAAGAACACTGCTTTCTCAGAGTTAACCCCGCCCCATACTTGAGACTGATCCACTAAGGCTGTGGAGACGTCAAACACTGCAGCAACAGTCTTTTTCAGGACCTCACTCATCCGTGCGATCAGAGCACTCTTTGAACGCTCGTTTCACCAATATTTCTATCTAGTGGCCACTCCAACTTGTGATCTGGAATTTCGTGGTTGTGTCAGTGATTGTCCTGCAACAATAAAATGAAAAGAATGTGATCTTTAATCATTCGTGTCCATAAATAGATTCATCCTTCCCCCGCTCTGATGAGCCAGGGATTCCAGAACGGAAGGGGGTTTATTAGGGATGGGGGGGGGGGGGGGGGGGGAAGGGGTGTATTAGAAACTTGAAGTTCTACACTGAGAGGTTCAGGCCTTTAGAACTCGATATTACCACAGCAAGTTAAAAATCGCTGCCTTAGGGGTTCCAATCCGGCTCTATAGGGTGTTATAGCTTCATTCAGAAACTCGTTAAGAGATGTTACAAGCCTCGGGAAATTTTTCGAACAAAGAAGAATGGAAAGGCTCCAAATAAAGAGCTCTTTTCACTCACCACCATTCAATTTTTCAGACCGGCCTTGTTTCGTGTTCTCGGGGAACAACGCCCTGCAATAAGGAGAGAACATTGATTAAAATTACTTAAGGTGCGCTTGGGTAAGCCACGCAAGTAAACGAAAAAATGTACCCAAAGCAAAGAAAAAATCGAACCACAACATTTTCATAAGCATCGTAACGCAAGAAGTCGTTTACTTCAGTTGAAATGAATATATTGGGAAAAAATTCTTTCGATACCAAACGACTTTGCGAGCTTACTTCGCTACCGTCCGTTCTTTGAGAAAAATCAGAAAGGTGTTTATTGAATGATTAGAGTTGTTAAAAAATAAGGAATAGAGTATCATTTCATTTGCTAACCACTTGCGTTTACCTGTATGATCTGGACTGCAACAGGAACTTCCTACAAAGAGCAATTTCACTTGCTAGTCTGCGAAGGTCGTCTCCCTCAAATATAGGCATGCTCAGAGGCTGAATGGACAAATACATTCTTCATGAGTTAATAAGAACGAAAAAAAAATTTATTCATAACAAGATGATCATGAGATTCATGGCATCTTTTATACGTCTCCGTCACCGGCTGAAAGTGGGATTGTGAAGTAGTGTGAAGTTTGACGCCTTAGACTTTGGATATAATGACATGATCGAGTTTATTGTGTTATGTCTGTGGATAAAGCAACTAAATCATACAGTGCCTCTATCTCATCAGGGGTTGAAATTCTGGGATGGTGGATACCCTCAAGTGCTTAGCATCCAATCGACAAGGAGCTGGCAGCCGAGAGATTACCATACAAAAAAGATTTTACTGTATGAAAAATAACGGGTAGAACTTTTAA